CCTGTACACCCTCTCTCTTGATTTTGGCATGCTGGTCTTCACCCGTGCATTTGATCTCCATCCTCACATGTTTATCTCTGAGCTTGTTAGTTACTTGTCCTGCTTCCAACTGCTGGTTTTCTCAGATTTCATCTTCTCCATTGGAGCTTGGCAGTCGATCTACAGATGATACTTCCCACTGTTTTCACAGCAGTCTTCTCCCTTAATTAGTTTATCCAAATGGGCAGAGTCTCCACGATCCAGGTACAAGTTGTCGCATAGAGTGATAGAAATTAGTCAATATGGTACAATACCATCCAAATGATTTCTCTTTTCCTGTCTTTGTATAAACTCTTCACCCTAATCGATGGAACAGCCTATGTGGATTCCTTTTAAATTTTTCTATGCATTTATGTAAGCATACATACACACACACACACACACACACACACACACTATTTTTAAGCAAGAGGATTCTATTGTATCTATTTCTCTGCATATTTTTCTTCCCCTTTGGAGGGGAACACATGCACAAACCTGTACATATAGACCCACATACAAATATATGGAATTCTTGTTAGTCAGCTGGTATCGGCTTCCAGTAATAGTTACATTCTTATCTATGGCATAGTTAGAGTTCATTCATTATCGTAATAGTTAGCTGTCATTCTAAATGTTGGTTTTATGCTACTAAAAACAAAGATGGAATAAATATTCTTGTTTCTATTTCCTTCTCTAATAAATAGATCCTACAGAGTAGAATGTCGGGGTCAAGATGAATGGTTATTTTTTTTTATGGATTTGCCAAGTTCACACCAGAAAATCAGAGGGCTTAGCCATATTCCATCAAAGTGCGAGAACACTCGGTCAACATGCCCCAAATAACTCATGCTGGCTTTGAAAAGTTCATAATTCCTGTAGGTCCTTTATGACATTTGATGAACATTTTAATTTAATGTTGCATTAAATTGCATTATCTTGACTACTGCTAAAGTACCTTTTTTGGCCTATTTTTCATTGCAGTTCCTTGTTTGAATTTGTTAGCTTTTTATTCTTAGTAACAAAATAGTCTATGCATTAAAACATTAACTATTTATCTGATACTAGCATTGCTAAAGTAATTTGGCAGGAAGTCTTTTCACTTCTCTGTAATTTCTTAATTAAAAAGAATTGAAACTGTCAAACTTACAGAAAAGTTGAAGTTACAATATGAAGAATTTTGATCTTTCTAAACTAATTGAAAGTAATTTGCTAACATGATCTGTCACTGATGCACATTCATTTATATAGCCATAGAAACCCCATCAAAATTGGGAGATGAGGGGAAAAGAAACGGGGATGGCACATACCTCTAATCTCAGCACTTGGAAGGGAGAAGCAAGCAGATCTCTGTAAGTTTGAGGCCAGCCTGATCTACAGAGCTAGTTCCAGGACAGCCAGGGCTGTTACACAGAGAAACCCTGTCTCGAGAAACCAAACGACATAAATTGGGATATGAGGGATGGACAGGTGGCTCAGTGGTTAAGTGAGTTTACTGTTACCACGAAGGACCTGGTTTTGGTTCCCAGTACCCACATGTCACTCTCAGCTGCTTGTAACTCCAGTTCTGGGGGACCCTATGCCCTCTTCTGACCTCCAATAACACCTACACACAAGTAGAACAGATAAACTCATGCCGGCACACCAGCCTTCAGGTAAATTTTTAAAATTTGGAATATTAGTATTCCCTTATTGACACAGTATATTTTGCTAATAATAATTTCCCTCTGAGGCTGTTTTTTTCTCATTGTTCTTTGGGGGCCCACGACCCAGCCCCCAAATAAATGCTCAGAAGCTTATTCTTTCTTACACATGCCTGGTCTTAGCTTGGCTTATTTCTAGTTAACTTTTCTTAACTTGAATTATCCCATCTACCTTTTGCCCCTGGACTTTTATCTTTCTCTATTCTATATGCCTTTCTTTACCTCTTACTCTGTGGCTTGCTGTGTAGCTAGGTGACTGGCCCCCAATGTCTTCTCTCCTACTCTTGTTCCTTGATCTTCTCTTCCCATTTCTCTTCCTATTTACTCTCTCTCTGCCTTCCAGCCCCACGTATCCTTTCTCTTTCCTTGCTATTGGCCCGTTCAGTTCTTTATTAGACAATCAGGTGTTTCAGGCAGGCACAGTAACACAGCTTCACAGAGTGAAACAAACACAGTGTAAGAGAATGCAACATATCTTTGCATCATTAAACAAATGCTCCACAGCACAAACAAATGTAACACATCTTCACCTAATATTCCATAACACCCATCAATATACTTCAGAGCAAAGTCCCAGTCCATGAGGAGTCACTGAATTGCCTGTAGATGTCACATGCCTTCATCTGGGCAGTTAAGTCTCATTCTTGATTTTTTTTAAAGTGTCTAGACCAAGTAATTTTGTATAATCTGTGTTGAAAATATTATTTATTATTTCCGCATTTTTGAACAAAGCCAACAAGAGAGAGCCCTCGTCTGGGGCAGGGAAGCGTGGTCAAGGGACAACCGCAGCCCACTCTCTATGTTTCTCTTGCCTGCCCTGTGGCCCTGCGCCTTCTCCATCACATTATCAGACTCTGGTTTTTTCTTTGTGAGGTTTTTGAGCCTTCGGAAACTTGTTGGGTCTTCATCTGTGTGCGGGCATTCTTACATGTCAGCTGACCTGCCCTTCCTGCTTTCCTCCTTACCTCCTATTTGTTAATTTAGATCTTTATTTTCTCTTCCAATATTTTGCTTGTTTAATTTTGGTGGTGTTATAACTCTTTAAATTGAATTTTATTTTTCTCTATATTCTTTTAAAAAATAAAGCATTTAAGGCTCTGAGTTCCCAATAGGGATAATTTAAGGCTATGAATTTCCAATAAGGATAAAGCATCGCATATGTTTTGTATGGAGTTTCCTCCATTATTGCTTTCTGTGAGGTTGGTAATTTTAGGTTCATTTACATTTTAGTAAAAGACTGCTTTGTATCATTCCTTGTAATTTCCAAGTAATTAAATGGCTTTGAATGGAGTCTCTTTTTACTGTTTGTTTCTCCCATCCTCCCTTCTTCTATCATAAGCTGCGATCAGGAAATATGCCCTAGAAAATTTCCACTTTTATAAATTATCCTAGAATGTCCTTTGAAAACACAGACTGGATTAATTTTTTGTATGTGTTCTACTAAAAAGCAAAAGAAATCTAGAACTTGGGGCAAATGTAATCACAGCACCAGGAAGACTAAAAAGCAGGCAGTTTCTTCAAGTTCAAGGCTAGCCTGGGCTACATAGACCTGTCTCAGGGAAGGAAAGGGGGACAGTATAAGATGGACTATTCCATGTATGTTTTAGATCAAATTTGTAAATTTCATGTGTATTTCGTCTCTATTTCTATCTATACATTTTATCTGTTGGGTTTTCTAAGTGTAAGCAATGTGTACATCCTATTATAACTGTATTTTTACTTCATCCTCCTCCTAGATTCTGCTTTGTACAGTTAGGTCCTTCTGAAAATGATGCACACGACCAGTGTGTGTGTTGTACCCACATTTCCCCCTTCTCCTTCTGACATAATTGTTTTCACCCCGTTTTGGGAGCTCACCAAGGCTAGCTGGACTGGGACTAAAAAAGCATGGGATAAAACCGGACTCTCTGAATATGGCGGACAATGAGGGCTGCTGAGAAGCCAAGGACAATGGCACTGGGTTTTGATCCTACTTCATATTCTGGCTTTGTGGGAGCCTAGCCAGTTTGGATGTTCACCTTCCTAGACAAGGATGGAGGGGGGAGGACTTTGGACTTTCCACAGGGCAGGGAACCCTGACTGCTCTTTGGACTGGAGAGGGAGGAGGAGAGGAGTGGGGGGAGGGGGAGAGGAGTGGGGGGAGGGGGAGAGCAGGGGTAGGGAAATGGGAGGCTGGGAGGAGGCGGAAACTTTTTTTCAAAGAGAAAGAACCATAAAACTGCGTTTTCCTGATACAGAAATAGTAATGGTACATTTATTTCCATAGCAGCACCACAATCGTCTCTCACAAAATTAAGGCTACATTGGAGCATTCGGACAGAAGGGACTGTTTTATACAATGTTATTCATGTTTTCATAAACAAAACAATACTCTTCAGGCAAAAAATTTTTAACAAGATACCAGTAAAGGAAATGGAATACAAAATGTGTTCCTTCGGGTCAGCCTGATAATAGCCACACACCCCCTAGGGAGTATCAGGGGATTTTTTTTTAATGAATACTTTGAGTATGAGGGCGACTCTCCAGAGTTAACATCCCACAATACAAGGCTATTTCATTATATAAAAGCAAAGACAGTTGCATCTCCTGCATAATCCCTTTAGAATGAATAATTAGTGAACATAAACAGTATTTAAAAGCACAAGAGAACTGTGCAGAGGCCTACGGTGCCTGGAAGGACAATCCCTACATCAACAGCCCTTCTCCCTCAAATCCGTTGGGAAGAAAATGAGAACTCAAATCGGATGACACTAAACTGTCAGCACTGCCAGGAGAGTGGCCAGGACCCTGCGGTACTCTTGAGGATAAAGTAATGCCATTTAAGGCCACCCACCAGCAGACTCAGTAAAACCATATTATTTCTTCCTCAAGGCACTCAAAAAAGAAAAACGATTTAATATCCTTGGTCCCTAAGAAGAAATATTTACTTACATCCTCAATGGACTAAAAGATTTTAGACGTCACAATTAAAATTGTATCTTTCCAAAAATATTATATTATCAATGCAATAAACTCAATAAACTTAAAAGAAAACAAAACTTAACTTCATTTAAACTAAACTTCATTAAAACTTTTAAAAAACCAACAAAACATACTTCCTAGAGTGCAAAATGCTTATTAAATACTTCAAGAACACAAAAGTAATTTGTTTAAAAACACAGGAATCCTTTGCTAAAGGGCCATCAACACAAAAGACACCCATGGCCCACAATGGGTGCCAGCTGGAAGACACATGGTGTTAAGCTTTGTGCTTGGCCTCTGCCCCTTTCAGATGACATGTTATTTGTACAAGCTCATGGTTGGACTTTGGTACATGCACATGTACGCATCACAAAGAAGTCTGCGTGCACAGCCTCGAATCCTTCTGGAATCCAAGGAGTGCAGCTCCTCCAGAGACATCTTCAAGTACTCTCCCACTTCAGGGCAGGGTGTCACTTGTGGAATGTTGAAGCCATTCTGACCCCCTAGGGAGAGAGAGAGAGCTCTCATTAGGGCAGCAAGCTTCTAAGTCCTCTTGGCAGCCTGTCCCACCAGAACAATTTTACTATCCTAGAATTTAGTGAAGACTGACTCCCAGAATCAAAAACAAAACAAAACAAACAAACAACAAAACTTTGTTTGACTTTCAGTTTCTAGAATTACGGTCTCCTTTTATTGGCTTCTGAGAGGGTTCAAGCAGAGAAAAGTGAAAAAAAAAAAAACCTGGTAAAAGGACAGGCACTTAGGAAAAGCTGCAGTCCCGATTTGCAGGCTGCTGCTCTAGGCCCCTCAGACTTTTCTGTCCTTCCCAGACACTAGCAGCCTGACACTTTTCCACAAGAAGCCAATTGTGAGCGCTACTGTTTCCCTATGTTTTAAGAACATACTTGCATACCTCTAGCATGGCTGTTTTAGATACTAATCATCAGAACGTGCATGTGCTCTGATGTTCAGATTTGCTCTCCCAGATGCGTTCCCAAAAGTTATGCTGCTAATGCTGAGTGAAGCGCACACAGGGGTGGGCTGTGCCCTCAGGCATCAGAGCTATGCAGAAATGAAGAACTGTTGGTCTACAGCTTGGGCCTCTGGTCAAGAAGCCGTCACTCGGTGCCTCTGATTATTAAAGTGTCACACCTGAAGACCTGGGGAACTAGGGCTTGGAAGAAGAGCTGTAGAGTAAATGGGGTATGGACAGGTACTGTGACAAGTACCTTACTACCAAGACCCCTGTCACTCAAGTGTGTACTAAGTAATGACTAAGCTTCCTAAAAACATCTCAATGAGTAAAGGTTTCTTCCTGAAATAAAATGCATGAGATCAGGAAGACTGAGGTAAATACAAACCATGCAACCTTCACCACCTTTAACGTTAGCTTAGACAATAGAAAAACAGGCATGATTTCCATGACCTAAGTATTCCCACAGAGTTTGGCATTTCTGTCCTCAATAAATGGCTACTCTACTGTATATAAAAATGCAAGGAAGAAGATGGTAAAATCAGCTCTAAATAAATTTTGGGATCTTTTTTTTTTTTCTTTTGAGGTGGGACAAATTGAAACAGGTTCTCACTATGCAATACAAACTGACCTCTGATTCACAATCCTCTACTTCCCAAGTCTGGGATTATGGCTAGGATTCTTTAACAAATCCACGTAAGGACCAAGATGGCACAACATTATTGCTCCTTAGTTTGAGGAGCAGAATTAGTAATACCCTTTGAAGATTGAAGTCCGTCCCACTGTGGCATCCTTTCAAGAATCTGCTTACAAAATACCCTATTACCATAAACACGCGCTCTCACTAGGAAGCATCTCCCTCCAAAAGACGAGTTTTAAATACCATCTCGATCAGCCATGCTGTCAAAGAAGAGCCAGGCTGAATCATCCTTCCCATACTTCACAAAAGCAACATAGTGGCTCGTTTCTATGCAGAGAACAGCAAATAACTCCATCTTCTGGCAGGGGATGCAGCCGTGTCTCCAGTCCCAGTCAGGCAAGTCTTTGGGAAGTGATACTGGGTGATAGGTATGATTCATTTTCTTAGGATGGAGGTGAACCTAAAATGGACCATGAAGAAAATACCACAAGTGAGCTAAATGCCATGTTTCAAGGGCAGACTCTAATCACTTTCATTGACCAACCCAGCCAAGTTCTACACACACACACACACACACACACACACACACACACACACACCGGCAGAAGAGACATGAGCAATAACATTTACTGTGAATGTTTAAAATGCCCTTTGACTCTGACTGGTGCAGTGAGTGTGGATTACCTGAGTGCAGCAGGTCTTACAGAACTGCTTGATCTTCCCTGCTGTGATGTCGGGGTCTTCATAGCAATCTCTACACTCAAACATCGCAAGTCCTCCACAGATGCAACACTCCCTGGGAGCTACGCAGAGGGAAGGAAGAAGCCTTTTTAAAAAAGACATTCTGTCATTAAAAATAAAAGCTATACTTTGAAAACAAGAATGCTTGGGGGTTGGGGAGAAGAAAGGCCTAGTCCTCTCTGACCCTCTTAAAATTTCATTTGGATTTTTTTTTTTTTTGGTATCTGTAGTATTTTTAAGGACTTTTTTTTCATATAACCATTTTTGTTAACCTATTCTAGAATTGTTCTTCTGGTCATGAAATGTTCAAAGATATAAAGTAAGTATTGAAGACTAATAGCACATATGATCTTAAGTCAGTAAGTAACAATCACTGCCATTATGAACTTTCTGTAACACTTTTACGTCTGAATATTTATATAAGTATGTGCACCCAGGTACACATGTGTCTCAAGCTTCTCTCATCTAGCCTCTAGATGCTTTCCCTTCCACTATAACTACCACACACTGTTTTCACATAGGTCTATTGTTTAGACATATAATCCAGTTAACCACTTCCCTCTTATTAACATTTCTTGTCTCTAATTTCTTGTCAGATAGTAAGTAAATTTGCATTTAAATTATTTATTTTTACCTCTTTTTTTAGAATAAATTCTAGCAATCAAATTATTGAGTTAGTATGTCTAAGCTCTTCAAATACTGAATTACCTGTCAGAAGTACTATACCCATAACTAATGAAAAGTCCAGGCCAACTATTTCTAAAACAAAACAAAACAAAAATCAAAGAAAGGACTATATACTTACTGTCTTCAAGCAAATCCGTTATATTTAATTCTAGAGAAGGGAAAATTTTTTCAAACATTTTGAAGTCTTTTCCAAACCGAGGCATCTGAATAATCAAGCATGATGGTGCCTAAAAAAAAGACACATAATTTTAGAAACCAAAGTCCTAAGGAGCTGGGGACTTAGCTCAATATAGCACTTACTTAGCATGTCCAAAGCCTTGAGTCCTAACCCCTGTACTAACGAGTTTCCCTATGAAACTGAAATAGTCATAACTGTCAAACCCAGTAGTGGTTTCAGTAGGGCTGTTGGCCCATGAAGCGGAGCCCACTTGTGAATGTGCAGTGTGGATGCAGAGCAGCAATAAGCTACAGATTTTCCAGACTTCCCCGGAGACGAACATGATAAAACAGACCACGGCATGCACTGCAGAGATCACACATTCTGACAGTCAAAGAGACGCTTCTATTGCATTCATTAGCAAACCCATACACAAGAATTTATTGGTATTTTATCTCTTAGCAGAGGGAGAAAAAATAACATTACCTTTGACATGTTTAGATACTATGCATGGGAAAAATGACAACTGAAAACATAAACATGTATGCACACATATCTTTGAATTAAACTACTTTAAACTTAAAAATTATCTTTTGTTCCCTTTGCAACCCAAATCTAAAACATTCCAACTTAAGCTAAGCGGCTATCTTTAAAAAGAACAAAGTTAGAATACCTTTTTTTTTTTTTAAAGTGTCTTCTTAACTATTTCTTCAAACTATTCTTGGTTAAAGCACAGTGACAGCTAGGTGTGGTTCAGTGGGGCAGCACTTGGGGTAGTGTGTACAAAAGGCCTGAGTTTAATATCTAGCATTGATAAGAAACAAAATAAAGTAGCAGTACAAGTCCAGTTAGAATCACTAACCTCTGCAAATTTTAGGTTGCTGTTGATAAAAGACCATTCTAGTAACTGTTGAATTGTAGGAACTCCAACTTTCTCATTTTTTTCCACAAAGATCTGATAGAAGTCGCAGTCTTGGACTTTCTGACCTGCTGATCTGGGAGCACACAGGAAGAAATGCATATAAGCCATCTACCAAATGCCTGAATCGAGTATGAAGCGTCTGACAGACCTGAGGACACAGCATCATAATGCTCGTGTCCAGCTTTGGATTGTCCACACACCAGGTGAAAGACAATGATTCGGATGAGATAGTTAAATGTGCTTATGCAGAAGACCTCATAAATTAGTTCTTCTGCCTTCTTTATAAATTATTCATAAGTTCTCTTGCCATCACAAGAAAAATGTAGAATAATATTCCAGACAAGAAACACTATATGAACAATAATCAGTTCTTCTCCCTCCAAATCTAGAAAGTAGCAGCTACTTTTTTAAAAAAATAAATTAATTTTTATTTTATGTACACTGGTGTTTTACCACGGATGTCAGGTCACCAGGAACTGAAGTTACAGACAGTTGTGAGCACTGCTTTTACTGACTAGAACAAATGCTACAATGCCTCAGTGACGGACTCTTAGACCTTCTAAATCAAACTTCTTTACTTCCTAAAATAAAAGCCCTGGGAGGGAGGAGAGAGGGAGGGGAAGGAGGGAGGGAGATAGGGAGGGAGGGAGGGATACTTTCCTAGCAAGTCAAAGCAGGGCAAGGTGTGACTCCCAGGAACCCTAACAACTATCCTCTAGGCTTCCAGCTACCAGCAGCTCTTTAGATGCTCACCCACCAACTTGACAAACACCAGGTAAATGGTCACGGTGAAACATGGGGGTCCAACATCTCCCTTCCCTTACCAGCTTACTAGTAACCATTAAAACTAATTCTACTGAGAAAATTGTTTTTCATCTTTCAGCTTACCGCTTATCTTTTTTAGCCAAGTGTCTGGGTTTAGAATCAGATTATTTAAATGTATGTCTAGATTTCAAGAGTTTTAGAAAAAAAAACTGTCAGCAGTTTTTAATCACAAAACTTCTGTGATTCAGGGAGCAACCTATTGTGATCTTCAGCTGCCGCAAGCAAATTATGTCCTGAATTTACAAAACATAAAATCTGGTAACTAGCTACAGCACTCTTGAGAACTCAAAGCTAATAAGAACAGATTATAATTCAAGAAACTAGCAGTTATACTAGATAACATTTTAATTGGTTGTTGATGACTACAAAAAATCATAGAAAAAGTCATAGAAAAAATTCATAGTTAAAAATAGAAGAGAAAACAAAAATAATGGAGGTAAAAGAAATCACACCCAGAAAAATCAAGGATGGCCAGGAGGAGGCATGGCAGCTAGTTAATGGAGGAAGAGATACATAGTGTCCTAACACTGTAGCAGAAAACTGGGAGGAACAACAGCCACTCAAATCTCACTTCCAGGGCCAGGCATGGTGGTGCACACTTTTAATCCCAGCACTCAGGAGACAGAGGCAGGTGGATCTCTGTAAGTTCGAGGCCAGCCTGGTCTACACAGCAAGATTCAGGACAGTCAGGGCTATATAGAGAAACCTGTCTCAAAAAATCAAACCAAACCTAAAACGAAAAACAAAACAACAAAAATCACTCCTCAAATCATATGCACAGGGGAGTCCTTTTAACCATAAAGAACAAAGTCTGTCAGTCATAAAAATGGATACAACTGGAAATAAACATACTAAACAAATTAAATCAGTCCCATAAAGAGAAATAATGTATGTTTTCTCTCATTTATGGTTCCTCGATCTTCTACAGAGAAACAAAAAGCATTAATTTGTATATGACATGAAAGTAGACGTGATGCTGCCTAAGGAACAAAGGAACTATGAGGAGGGAGACATGGAAAGGGACAGAGGGATGGAGGTACAGGGGAAACATACCCAATATACAATATGGGGTTTATGAAAATTTTAGAAAATGATAAATATAATTAAATAACCCCACGGCTAGTGTTTTAGAAGTTTGGAAACTTACAGAATCATAGCCAAGTTGTGAAACTGCACCAAGCCATGCTAGTTGGGTTGTATTTTCCACCATGGACAATCCAAGGGCACAAGAATACAAATTTGGTAAATTTTAAAAAGTGGATATTGACATTTTACAAACATGAATATAAAAACATTCATGGATTGGTGTGGTTTGGACCATAATAGGTGAGTCCTGAGGTCCTATACTCATTCCAAAATCCGGCAGCTCCATGATGAGTGTGTGAAGCTTGTGACGTCACTGCCCAGCCACAAGGAGCCTGGGTCGCCCTGCCTTGATGCTCCTGTGACTCTTGCTTTGTTCTGGCCTTTCTTTGCTTGCTCTGCCCCCAACTCCTTCCTTTTGGGATGAGAACCAACCCTGTGCCACTGTAAGCTGGAAGTACAAAACTTGTTTATTGGTTTTTCAGGAACTCATGGTTAAAAAGGCTATTTTTGAACAGTGTTGGAACATTAAAAATTATGGAAACTTCTGAAGTTAGAATGAATGTATTCTGCATTAAAGATGACCAAGAACCTATCGGGACAAAGAGTAGAAAGTAATAGCTTTAAAATCATATGTTTAAGTCGGGTGTGGTGAAGCATGCACTTAATTTGAGCACTCAGGAGACAGAGGCAAGCGGATCTCTGTGAGTTTGAAGTCAGTCTCGTCTACAAAGTGAATTCCAGGACAGCTAGTAGCCAAGACTGTTACACAAAGAAATCCTGTCTCAAAAAACTTGGGGCCTAAGAGAGAGAGAGAGTTCAGCCATTAAAAAAAAAAATAAAAACTAAGGCTCATAACCAAAAGTGGTAGGAAATGTCTCAGCTATCAAGAGGTTAAGACAGCACACTGCCCTTACAGAGGACCAAAGCTCAGTCCCCAGAACCCACAACAGGTAGTTCGCAACTGCCTGGAACTCCAGCTTAAGGAAATCTGACATCCTCTTCTGGCCTCTGTTGGCACTGAACTCATACACACAATTAAAAATAAAATTAAATGTATTTTTAAATGATATATTTGGGTATCAAGTTGAAAATAAGTGGTCTTGTGATGTTAATATTGTTAACTTGACAGGATCTGGAATCATCTATGAGATAAACCTCTAAACATAACTGTAAAAAAGTTTTCTGATTGGGTTGAGGTGAGAAGATCCACCCTAAATGTGGGCAGCACAATTTCACAAGTTTGGGCCCCAGAATGAGAAGGAGAAAGTGAGCTGAGCACCTGCATTCATCTCCATCTGCTTCCCTTGCAGAAGCAGGGACACCGGCTGGGGTACAGTCGCACTACAACTGCACCAAGATGGACCGTACCTCACACTCTGAGCCTCATGTTTGCTTTATATCCATGGGAGGCCTGCCCTCTTCTGAATCGAAATGAAGGAGGAGAGGATGGGGGGAGAGGGAGAAGGTGGGAGGGAAGGACTAGGAAGAGAGGAAGGAGGGGAAACTGTAGTTGGAATGTAAAAATCATTAAAAGAATAAAACAAACCAAAAAATTCACATATTTAATTATTTACTCTTTCTCACTAATTAATCAAATCTGCCTTGTAGCTCAGTGTAAATCTTTTTTTAACTCTATCTTTGAAAACAATGATTGCTTATTTTTCTTTCCTAAAACATAAAATATTCCTTTTTCTATATGCTTGAAGGAATAAAAAAATGTTGTTGATTTTCCATGATTAATTTTTACATGGCTAGACTATAATAAATTCTTTTCTTAAATCTTTGTAGATAATTCTCTGGATTTTCTAGGTACATAGAAAGCGATTCCCAACTTGGACTTGCTAATAAGTATGTACACCCAGCTTATGCATCATGCCAGTTCACTAGTTAGAGATTTCTGAAGAGAACCAAACTTTAACTGTGATACTTTCCTTGTTCCAAAATCAGTTTAACCCTGGTTCAAACTGCATTGCTTAGACACAAGAGGAAAGAGAACTCATCAGTGTGGGTTCTTAAGAAGGTAGGCAGCACACTCCTAAGATTTTCACCAGAGAAACCAAGACTGAATTCAAGAGGGGCCCACCATTCAAATGACCTGGGAAGCACAGACATTTCAAACATCTTACTAAGAACTGTGTTGCAGTAAACTCAGGTATTCTTTCAACATGGGGAGAAGGAAGATCTAAACTGAGAACGAAAGAACTAACTTAAGGCTAACTGTAAGTTATGGGAAGCCAAAAACAATGCTCTCACTGTTTTTTTTTTTCTTTTTTTAAATTCAGTTAGAATAAGATTCCTTTTAAAAGTTCACTAACTGAACTTTCAAAAATATTAACATGCAATTTCATAAGTAATTAAATTGTGGGCACATCTGTCACTAGGGCTAATTAAAAGGACAGGTTCACTTGTGCCCTGGAAGTTAAGTGTAGCTCAGAGAGAGGACAGCAGCTAGTGAAACCCACATCTAAGCTAGCAACATTTAGCTACTGGGCAATGGCAGTGTAAAAGAAGGTCTGCTTCTGAAATGCTTCTAGACAGCTTGAGACCTACCTTATTTTTAACAATGGCTCAACCCTTAAAATATCATGAAACAGGATATTTAGAAATTCTTCAGGATCTAGGAGAAAACAAAGCAAAACAAAACAAAACAAAAAACCCAAGTGAATCACAGAGAAAATTTAAAAACCATTCTATTCTTTAAGAGAGACATATTAATTAAAAGTTTAGTTATTTCAGGTTCTCCTGACAAGGGAAAACTTATAATAAAACATTACTTTTCCATTTGTTGTCATGATGCCCTATTTAACAGAATATACTCATTCACACACAGTGAAATCATTTTTATGTCTTTTGGGAGGTTCAGTAGAATATCCCTGGTATATGCCCTATTTTTTCTTCTATTTTAGTAATAGCCATGTGTATAAATGCCACAGCTGGTTATAGTATACTGTTAACAATCTAATTCAGGAGTTGAATCTGAGCAAATTCTTCAGTTGTGAGCAGACAGAAGTGCCGGCCAACTGCTCCACAGCCCCTTTCAACAGGGAGCACAGTGAGAAACTGAGTGCTGGGGACTCTCCCTATCACAGGAAGAGAAGCAGCTCCGAACAGCCCTGCTGGGGACAAGGACAGCTCTTTACTTGGTCATCTTCTGTAGAGCCAGCCGGCTGGCCTCTTAAAGACTTCTTCCACATCACATCACTTCAGAAGAATCACAAAATCAGGAGAAATATGCATGTCACATAGAAAAGAAACTTTTCATATTTTTGCAGTGCTGGGAATCAAACCCAAGGCCTCTTACATACTCCACCACTGAGTATACTCCTAGCCCTCTCAAATGAATCTAACTTAAATTTAATCCTCTAAACTAAATTGGTATATTTCAGGAAATAATTTAGCATATTACTAGATGATAAACTTTCAAGTTATTTTCAATGCATATATTATAAATTAAAAGGGTCACCTTTTTCTTCAGATGTAAATCCTGATGCAGCAGGAACTTTTTCAAGTATTTTCCTCAGTTTCATAGTTTTTGTGGCAGACACATATCCATATCTGTTGATAAAAATGAATTAACTGACACTGGCACAGTGAGTCATATGGCACATGTTAATAATCAAGTACTTTTCATACAATTCTAACATGTTAAAAAACAATAGACAAGGCATTTATTTTTAAGAAACAACTGTAGGCTTCTTACAGAAGTTTGAAAAGTGAAAGTCTGAGAATCAGAATTGTTTCCAGATACTATTAAACACCTTAAAAATAACTACCATGTACTAATACAATTCTGAACTTTTTATGAAGCCTGGGTGAAGCAATTTTTAAATGGCATTTGCTTATTTTATTAAAACACTTATTTTATAAAATAGGATATCCAAATTTGAGAAAGCCCTTCTTATACACAGGATAAGAGACATGGAAAAGGGAACTGATGAGATACTAAAAATCTAAAGTCTGAAATCAAACAGTCAACATAATTATGACATTCTCTTTGTTTGACTATAGGAGACCATGGGCTTACAAGAACAAGTCAGAGCCAGCTAATCATACTGTGTACCCGCTTTTTAGATCGACTATCCACTTACTTGGTAGCTCTTTGCAGTCAGCAAACACTAGACACCTACCATTTGTGTATGCTATATGTAGGGCACCAAAAATACAAAAGGAGATTAAAGAAACCTAACAACAACAAAAAAACCAAATAAACAAAACAGGATCTCTACCTGTGGGGCTTCCAATACAGAAAGCAAAACCTCTGTCCAAACAAAAGATATGACATTTGCAGACACAAGAAATATATCTCAAATTTCTGAGCTACTGATCTTGCCTTAGCCTCTTGAGCTATCAAGTGCTGGGATTACAGGTATATCCCACCATGCCTGACAAGATGCACCTTGGTCTCATAGGCCATGCAGCAAGTGTTTTCTATAGACTGGTGACAAAATTAGAATAACTATGATTCTGGACTAGTTAGGAAATCATATGCAAAAAAACGTTTACTGATGGATTGACAGTATTTTAAAAAGAAGGGAGGTTGTGATAATATGCCTTGTAGTTAAGATTTGACCTGTGCTGTTCTAGTGTCATTTACATAGGGAAAGAAAAATCTGAGAGTTTAAAATTTGTGTAAGACAAAATAATATTAAAATCAAAGCACATAATTTAAAGGATAAGATGATTAGAAAAGTAAGGCAAACATGTATCTAGAGAAATTTGTTTCACTTTTAATTTACTTTCTTAGCTATGAGACACAGTATGTCATTTGGAATACTCCTTATAGTTTCATATTTTGTTATTTTTAAATATATTATGTTAATTTTTATTTTCACTGTTAAGAAAAGTGTATCACAAAGTTTAAATTGATCACAGTTGGACTTTAAATTGCATAGTTTGTTTTCTATGTCCCTGAGCTATCTGTTTTCTGATCACTGGCTAACCTAACTCTTCATCACATAAACCCCTTGTGAAGTCATCACACATCACCATCATGTATCAAAGTCTTCTTACATGGTCTTCTGCACATTTACAACTACCTTAGTAAAGGAGTAAAAGAAGACCTAAAGAAATTCTTTTAAACAAACAAAATACCATGTCACTTTAATATACCTCACTTGTTTCTAGTGCAATGTCATGTACTAGACAAAGAGGCAAAGGGATAAATTTGTAGTGCATGACTCCAAATGAGTCCCATCATTTTACAGAATGCACTGCCCAGACTAAAACACACATAAACAGAGGACAAAAAACAAAGGTTTTAAAAAGTCAGTATTTCATGAGAACTAACTTCTTTTTTTTTACTACGAGTACAGAGCATAAATTAATTACTATACAAGAAAACAGTAAACAGAACACCAACTAAAGACAAAACACATGTCTTCTACTTACATTCTCAGAGGATTGACTATTGCTGTCCTCAGTAGCTCCTGGGTCTCAGTATAATACTCCACATCATTCTTTTCCTTGGGTCTGAGCAACACAGTATCCAGGACAGAACTAAAAGCAAATAAGCTGCAAAATAAAAGAATATTTTCCGCATGTTATAAAAACAATAATATTTGAGAAAGATTCTTAAAGGAGTAGGAAGAGGCAAAGGGATAAAGTGTAGGGAACCACTGGTTTAAGAACTCATGGACAGACCACACAGGCCCTGTGCTCAGTACCCGGAGACCCTGCAGATCCGGACCAGAAACACCAAGACTGCACCATACACGTGAAGGTTGAAAACACGCCAGAGAACATTATGAAAGAAGCTTGTTTACATAAACCAAGAGAGGCCTAGAAATCAGTCACACACACACAGACAACATAGAGAGAAAGTCAGAGACTGGTCAAGACCAGATCAGACTAGTCAGGACAAATTCATCTCATTATCATAAGATAGGCATTTCCTTATAATAACTTGTGAGTGATTAGCAATAAAAATTTGCTGGTATCAAAGAAAATAAATTTACTTAAAATAAATTTTTATCAGCAAATCTAAGGAATATTATAGTAATGCTTGCTTATTTGTTTAATCAAAAGTATTCCACCAACGAAAAGACCCACCTTTATTCTGCTCTCTCCTTTAAAATTCTAACTTCCACACTAACTTCCTCACTCTTGTGGCACAGCCTACCGAGTGGCAGATCCACTTCACTGGCAGTGCACAACCCTTACGGCTACAGATGCAATCTTCATAGCCTAATGATCCTTGCTGTTCAACTTGATCCACTTTAGGGAAAACTACACAAAGGAGGGCAACAGTGATCCCATGGAAAGTAATTTTTAATATTAAGAATTTTTATGATCATCTCGATATTCCAGAACACACGCAGCACGCAATGCCAATAGCTTGCTGCAGGTTACTGGGCACACGTGCCATCATCTACACTGGAGGCAGATGTCCTCAGAGTATCTGTTCACTCATTATTCACTGCAGTATTTTTATATTAGTGCTTTGGATCTAGGAATAGGATATGAAATTCTTTAGTCACTAAGGACCAAATCTCATGATCTTTCCTAACTCTGTCAGTTTCTCTACTCAAAGGCATCTAGCACCTTCTTTCATACACACACACACACACACACACACACACACACACCTGTCTCCCCTCTCCCCCCCACAGCACTATTTACACTTACTGCAGAAAATAGGAACTTACCAGAATAAAGTTGAGTCCAAGTAACAAGAATTGTAATGGCCCTGGATGCCTTTCTTCTTTCCAATCATTATCTTTAAACCTTTTTTCATCTTTGGTGGAGTATTTTTTTCTACTACTTTACTTAAGTAGCCTACAAATTCTGAAAAGATAAAAAAATAAAAATAATTCTTTTAAATCATGATAGTATATATTCATATGCATGTACATATATATCATTTAAAGTATATTTTGGCATCCTCTGCATTTTTTTACTTTAGTTAACTGATATTTATCTGGACTTATAAAAATGCGATTATTCACTTTCAACATCATTCCTGTCATATAGAGTTTAGAAAATTAAGTCAATTAAGCATCTGTCAAAGAACATTTTGTTACTCGTCCAAAATGTTTCATTTTCAAGCATAAAAAGAAAACAAGTTTCCAAAATACTCTTCAACATTAAGAAAAATGTTTTTCATAAAGATGTTTTCCCTATTTCCCCCTGCTTGACTCTCACTATTGTTAAGGGAAAGGCCAGCATCAGCAAGCTATTGACAATGAGAAGAATTGTCCTCCATCTGTCAAGCCAACTGCATCCCCAGAGTATATCAGATTTCTTCATAAGGACATCCGAAATGAGGTACTTAAAAAGATGCAGAGGGGGAAGTTATTGCTAAAGGGACCACATTTTCATTTCTACCACCCAAACTGCCAAAAATTTAATGTCTATAATCAATAAAAGAGAAGAAAAAACACCGCCTTTCAGTCTTTAGACCCTAAATACTTTTCCTTACTCTTCTTTCAACATATCTCCTCTTAGGACAACTCTCTTATGCACCAAGTAAGAATCTTTACCAACTTCGAAACTTGATGAACACTGGCAAGTAAATAAAACATTTAAACACTGTCACCCTCAGATGCTAAAAACAGTCATTCTAGATGGGTAAATAAATGAAAAGTATCCAATTACCTAAAGAGTTACACCTTTCAATCTGATTAGTAACAGGCTGCAGGGACGCAAACCTAGAGTCGGGTCTGCAGCTCTTGAGTTTCACGAACAGGGCCTTCTTCACGTCGCAGGTGAAATAGCGCGTGCCCCTGAACATGCCATCTGTACAGCCTGCACATTCATCCTCCTGAAAAAGAAAGGTTTTGGTATGTGTTACACCGGGAAGAGCTATGGAGTTTTCACTTTTTCTGAATTTCTTTTTCAAATCTTTTCCAAACAGATCAGCAAGAAGGAAAAGGGACTGACTAACTGGTGCTTTGGCCCTCAGCTGGTGGTTTAAGAAAATAATTCTTTAGCCCTCCAGGAAGTATTTGATGCATTTCCCTTCAAAATACATGGTTAGAACTTCCTTGATTTGCTGAGTTTTCCTGAGCCATTTCAATATCAAGGGGCAGGAGTAGATAAATGATGGAGGAAGGTCATTGGCTAATAAAGGCACTGCCCTGGCCCATTTTATTGGTTAGAGGATAGGTGGGAGGAGAAAACAGGACAGAACACTGGGAGGAAGAGGAAGTGAGGTCAGAGTCTCTACAGCTTTCCTCTCAGGAGCAGACGCCTGAGAGAGACGCCATGCCCCGCTCCCGGCATGAAGCTCCGACCCAGGATGGACTAGGCTAGAATCTTCCCGGTAAGACCGGTTCTCACAGATTATTAGAGATGGGTTGATCGGGATGTGAGAATTAGCCAGTAAGGGCTAGGGCTAAAGGGCCAAGCAGTGATTAAAAGAATACAGTGTCTGTGTAATTATTTTGGGGCATAAGCTAGCCGAGCAGGCAGCCAGGGTGCTGGGAACGCAGCCCCGCCGCCGCCCTTACTACTTCAGATAAATTACCTAGTTCCTCAACAGCAAGAAGACAAGTGAAAAAAAGTTAAAAACTATATTTAGGTAATAGCTAAATTTATTCAAGTTCTCCCTCCTGGTTATGAAATATCACACAATATACTTTTTTTAGACCCAAAAATAAAACCTTCCCCTCTCCCAAAGACTCCAAACATGATTAATTTTAAAGTCAGTCACATCCCTGAACTGACTGCAATGGGAGGAGGCTAAAGAATACGAAGGAAAACTGGTCACTGAACTGCTTTCCTTGCTGCATCTGTTTGTATGTGGAGACTACATGTTCTAGCCTAAAAATCAATCTATTCCTTGATCACAAACAAACATGAGGAATAAGTGGGTGAGTAGCCTTAGCGATGGCAAAGGGTGGAGGTAAGCAATACTATATTTCCTCTACTACTGGATTTTTTTTTGAGAAAAAAATAACTTCCCAAGAAATTATCTAATAGAGGAAAACCTAGTTTTAAAACCCATGAAGAAAAGTTGTAGATTTCAAGCCAAAATAAATTACCAGTTCCAGCCCAGCTAGCACGTGACGGAGCCCAGGCGGCTGGCCAATCCAACGGATAACCCCATAGAATGGGGGATTCTTTTTCACTTCAGCCAGTGAGCCCACCTCTAGGCCGTATGCATTACCAGAAGAGATGGGCAAAGGTGGACTCTCCTGGACAGGCGTGCTGTTCAGCTCGCCCGTCACAGACTGCACTGACAGTGACAGTGGGCTGTGAGCAATGCTGCCGTTTGTATTGGGCATCTTGGTCAGGCTGAACGGTAGAGAGTGCAATCTGTTCTCACTGGATAAGGAGTTCATGGAAGGAGGTTGTGGTGGAGGTGATGAATGTCCAAAGTCTGGAGACAGCTCTCTTAGTGACTTTGCAGGGTCTTCTGCAACTATGAAAAATTGTCCTTAATTAGAAAAGGCTGTTCAAGAACATTAAATATGACTGCATCTTCTAAAAACAATACAAAGTTCTAGTCTAACTGATCACATGATCCCTTTGCAAGCCTGCTTGAAAGCAAACTCATTGGCTCTGAATAATGTTCTTGCTCCTCTTCTTGACCTCCACAGTTTCCTGTCTCAGTAATCTGGCATTGGTCATCTAAGTCTAGTCAGTATCACATGGATTATATTCTTTCCCATAATATGATTAAGTTAGAAATTAGTATGAAGAGATATAAAATTTAAATAATAATTCTAAATAACCTCTGGAAGAACAGTCAGTGCTCTTAATCTCTGAGCCATCTCTCCGGCCCAGGATGAATGAATTCTTGAGAGAGGCAGGTCATGTTGCCTATGCTCACAAAACCCCACTCAGTGCGAGAATCAGATGTGGCAAATACCCACTCAGGTCACTTTCTGTGTAAGTATATATGTAACCTATAGTATGCAACTGTAGATTGTACTGTGTGTTTTAGCTTATAACTGAATCCATGTCATAAGGAGTCATCATAGAGACTTAGAACACTATATTTTCATTTAGTTTACTGAATCTACTGAATACAAAGCAGTGTAGAAGTACTAGGAACTTATAGAAAATACAGGCAAATAACCAAAACCACTTCAGGGACACTTAACCTAACCTAAGAGAGTGAGTGAGTACAGTGGGAGAAAAGGTTTCAATTTAAGAGGTGAAGAGCAGTCAGCCAGATCATTGAACTGGAGGAACTAGAAGGATTTCCAGGTAATTAACCTGCACAGATGAAGGAAATAAATCCATGAAAGGAGAATGATATCTAGGAAACAAGGAAGGTAGTGTGTTTTAAAGAAAGTAAGATAGGCAAGTCTTTAAATGAGTCACTTCATTTCTAGAAACAGTTGATCCTAAGCAGATGTATTAAGAGATAAGAACAAACTGCAGGGCATAGTGGTGTACACTTTTAATCTCAACACTCAGGAACCAGAAGCAGGTGAGTCTCTGTGAGTTCGAGGCCGGTCTGGTCAACAGAGCAAGTTCTAGGACAGCAAGGACTTTTTATACAGAGAAACCCTGTCTCGGGTAAAAAAAAAAAAAAAAAAACAAAGCAAAACAAAACCCAGACGACTAACATATTTCAAATGTATCCTCAACCCTAATAACAGTGTAGTTGAAACTATGTTTAATATTTTAGTTCAGCAATATTGTCATATTAGCTATGATCTATTCACTGTTTCCAAAATTAACAAATATTGATGAAAAAGTCATTTCCCCTTACATATTAAACAGAGGGTACCATTATAAAGAGGACTAAAATTATAGATTACCTTCATCAATATCGCATGAATTTTTGGATTTGGTTTGTTGTTGTGAGTCAACAGATGAGCCATTTAAGGTATAAAATAATTCAGATCTGCTTTTACTTCCAGGGTCTGAGGTAGATCCTATGGAACAAGAAAAGTTCCTTTTTAAAAAAGCCAATATGTTACAAAAAGAAATTTTATAAATAAATTAACATGTGCTTGGTATAACAACTGCTCACACAACTAATATACATATACATAGTATTGTATTGTCTTCGGCTTTAAAAGTTTGGTAATTAGTCAACACAGAAGAGAGTAGGAGTTATAAAATTAATATAAAAGTTAGTCGTTTATATTAAAGTTCTAAGAAACCATTCTGGTGGTCAGTGGTGACACGAGCCTTTAATCCCAGCACTTAGTAGAGGCAGGCATATCTGAGTTTGAGGCCATCCTTTTCTATTGAGCAAGTTCCAGGACACTACAGACTATTTAAAGAAATCTGGACAAAAAAAAATCATTCCATGTAGTCTATTTTTCAATGTCACCTCTACTTTGATGAAATTACTGGCTCACGAATTTCACCTCTATCATTCATACCATATAACAGTGGTTTTCCACCTTCCTAATTCTGCCATCCTTTAGTATAATACCTCAAACTGTGGCAAACCCCAACCAGAAAATTGTTTTCGTTGTTACTTTATAACTGCAATTTTGCCACTGTTATGAATTGTAATATAAATATCTTTGTTTTCCAATGGTCTTAAATGACCCCAATAAAAGGGTCATTCAAACCCCGAAGGGGCCACAATCCACAGGATGAAACCCCATTGCAGTCAACAAAAGAACATCCAGCAGTGTTATAGAGCCTAGACATACACAAAGTTTTTTCACCAGGGTTTGTGAAGTGCATTCTATGATAGTCACATGATGTGGGATTCCCCTCCACATGCTGTGAATACCATTGGTTAATAAAGAAATTGGCTTGGCCTGATAGAGTAGAACAGAGCTAGGTGGGGAAAACTGAATGCTGGGAGAAAGAAGGGCAGCGTCAGAGAGAAGCCATACAGCCCCACAGGAGATGCCGGAACTTTACCTGGTAAGCCACAGCCTCGTGGCAATACACAGATTAATGGAGATGGGTTAATTTAAGATGAGTTAGCCAGAAATATGCTTAAGTTATTGGCCAAACAGTATTGCAAATAATATGGTTTCTGTGTGATTATTTTGGGGCTGAGCAGCTGGGAACAAACAAGATTTCTCATAAGAAAATTCACACAAAAAAACAAACTGCCAAATGATGCACTTCTCAGAATTCATCGCATTAATAAGTGGCTCATGATTATAATTTCCCTTCATAAACTTCAAATGTGATAATACAAGCTGATGAACAAATTAAGTTAAAAAACATTCAGGTTTTGGGTGGGTATATGGCTCAGGAGTAGAGTCCTATATTTGTTTGTGTAAGATGCCAGATTTGATGCGAGCACCAAAAAAATAAATAAATAAAAAATAAAAAAGTAATCTCAGTGTCTGGAACAATACCTGAGTAAAAAAGTACTTACCTAGCTTATAAGGTTCTGTTGACTTTGATCCCCAACATTACAAAAGAAATAATTTATTTTTTTTTAGATTTACAATACAAACATCTTAGAATTTTATTAACACAATTTCTTGTTCTTTGTAGTTTAGGAGGATGGACCTCCGAGGCTCTGTGCCCTCGTTAGGGATGTGGTGGAATATTCGGTCTGTGCCTGTCAACGGCCTGAAAATGCAGCCCACGACCCATATGACCAGTGGTACTTTCCTCCTTTCAGGAGAAGGCCATGATCAGCTCAAGCACCAAGACTAGGAAGCCTGATGACCACAAGAAGACATATGACTTGGAGTCTAGCATCTCTCATGCACTGCTTGAGCTGGAGATGAACTCAGATCTCAAGGCACAGCTTGGAAACTCAGTATCACCCACCACAGCCATGGAAACTGAAGCTGGTGATGGTCAGAAAGCAATCCTTATTTTAGCACCAGTTTCTCAGCAGAAATCTTTCCAGAAAATCCAAGTCTGGCTGGTTCATGAATTAGAGAAAAAGTTTAGTGGCAAGCATGCAGTATTTACTGCTCAAAGAAGATTCTGCCCAAGCCAACTCAGAAAAGCTGTACAAAAAAATAAGCAAAAGCACCCAAAAGCTGCACCCTGGCAGCTGTACATGACACCATCCTTGGGGACTTTTTCTTCCCAAGTGAAACTGTGGATACTCCATGTGAATGCATGGCAGTCAGCTCCTAAAGGTTCATTTAGACAAAGCTCAGCAGAACAAGCAGAGCACAGGTCGAAACTTTTTCTGGTGTGTATTAGAAGCTCCCTCCCTCCCTCTCTCTCTCCCCTCTAGGGTTTTTCGCTGGAACTTGCTCTGTCAACCAGGCTGGCCTCGAACACAGAGATCCACCTGCCTTTGCCTCCTGAGAGCTGGGATTGAAGGCATGTAACACCTTTCCGGTGTCATGCTCTCTGAAATAGTAAACATACTTTTTAAATATATATGGAAGAAACATAGTTTAGCATAAAAAACAAAGAAATCCTTTCCAACAAAAAAGCACAATCTTTATAGTCTTACAGATTCTCTTTAAAGACTCCACAGTACTGAAAAGTAATTTCTCAGGTGAAAAAAAATCAACACTGTACTTAAAAATATAATTTCTGTAAGAAAATATAATCATCAGTTATCAAAATGCTTTAATTTTTTAAAAGTTAGTCAGATGCAGCCAATTTTATTTGAAGTTTTAAAAAACTTTAAAGAAAACCTTATTCATAATTTTTGTTACATTTTCCAGATCAGCATGCCCAGCACAACCCTACACATTACAGTGTTTTACACTCAAGCGTTTATGGAGGGTGCCAAGATAAACATGGACAATTTTTTTACTGTAAAAACCAGAGCCTTTACATGCCCACATGCCTGGATAACCTCTAACCGATGTGATGTACTAAACTGACTTGATAAAACTTTCTCAGCCACCCAAGTATGCTGGATCAGTGTATTTCACAGTACACAGCTTGATAGAAACCTGGGTCAGAGACAAATCAGAGTTAGGAATGCACACACACACACACACATACACACATACACACACACACACACACACACACACACACACACTTCTCTTGCTGTTTGTCTGCATCTCTGCACTCCTGTCTCTCATCCCTGGCATGTGATCTGGTCATGCTGGGATTCTCCCTGCCACGGATCCATTTCCCCTGCCCTACTACTCTGACTTGCATAGGTGTTCTGTCCTATGTTGGTTTTCTGTTCTCCCTTACAGCATCTGCTGATCTAGCCCTCAATGGGACCACCTGTGTGCTCGCCTGGCTCCCCCAGCCTACTCCAGGAATTTTAAATTGGTCAGCTGACACAGTTTCCTGGAAAAATTTTGTTCATCTATTAATAAATACATGTAAATAATGTGGTCACAGTATGCTTGCTTTATGCCTGTGTGTGTTTGTGTGCATGCTTTAAAATCTGTAAAACTTGTAATTCCAGATTACAACTGCTCTGAAAAAGTACAGGTGCATAGATAACCACCATTTTGATTAAGTTCAAAACCTCAGTCCCATCCTTATTAAGGGTACCCACATGCGCTGGTCCCACCAAGGAAATATTCCTCTCCCATATGCTGTGACTTACAATGTATTTCTGTATAATTCCTGTCCTGTTCATAAAAAAACAAGGTTTATAACAACACAGATTTACTGAGATATTAAGGCTGCACCTCTACATTCATGTAAAAGAACACATGTTGCTAGCTGTCAGATTTTTTGTTTTTATTTTATTTATTTATTTATTTATTTATTTATTTATTTATTTATTTATTATGTATAGTGCTCTATCTGTCTGTATGTTTGCTGGCCAGAAGAGGGCACCAGATATTACAGATGGTTGTGAGCCACCATGTGAATGCTGGGAATTGAACTCAGGACTTCTGGAAGAGCAGTCAGTGCTCTTAACCCCTGAGCCATCTCTCCAGCCACCGGCAGTGAGATTTTTTTAACTTAAGAGTAAACCCCTTGATATTGATTTAAAACACTAAATTATTTACAATGTTAAAACTTGGTTCGGCCTTCTACAGATTAGGATTATACTCTCTGTCTGAGAACCACAGCTAAAAAAAAACTAGATATTCCTTCTAATCTTCTTGCCTCTACTAACATTGGTAAGCTGTAACTGTTTGGATAAACTATATGTCCAAATTTGACTTATATGTCTAATTTAGATATCCCTGACAGGTAAAGGTACCCTGATCCTCAGGTGCCTTTACAGATCTGAGAATATGCTGCTTAGGATGTGGAAAAACTGGGTCATTCATGTATTTCCAGTGGTTATATGACATCATACAATCATGTTGTAAAACAGTGTAGCTATTTCTCTAAAATCTTACTGTAAATAGTGGTACCCTGTGTGGGTAGATCAAGTTCCTTTCAGAAGCTACAGTCTCAGCTGGTGGTGGGGTTTCATACCTACTCGCCACTCCCTACAGGCTGGGATTTTGTCTGGACTGAAGCTGCACAGCTCATGAACACATCATCACAATTCCTGTAAGATTATATATACAACTGCCCTGCTGCATTAAGAAAATTCTGTTTTCTTGAAGTTGACCTCTACCTCTGGCTCTTAAGAACTTTCTGCCCTCTCTTCTGCAAAGTCCCTGAGTCTTGGTGGGAGGAGTGCAAATGTACGTGCCCACTTAAGGCTGCAGACTCCACAGGCTCTTATTCTTTGCACCTGAACCAGTTGAAGGTCTCTGTGTTGACATCTTCTGCAGGAAGAAGCTTTTCTTAGGGTTGAGATGTACTGGTATATGGCTATATTATCAATTATATCAATTATATTGCTACAAAACTGTTACTTTTTTTTTTCGAGACAGGGTTTCTCTGTGGCTTTGGAGCCTCTCCTGGAACTAGCTCTGTAGACCAGGCTGGTCTCGAACTCACAGAGATCCGCCTACCTCTGCCTCCCGAGTGCTGGGATTAAAGGCGTGCACCACCACCGCCCAACTGTTACTTTTTTAAAAGGTTATAAACTATGAAGACATGCAACACAAAGAAAAAAGTGATCGGGAAGGATACAAAAAGAAATTATGAGTTTGGG